AGGATTAAATCTCCACTCCCTCTTCCTTTCTAAAAAGAATATTACTATCACATTTTCATTTTTAAAGTTCTTTGTAAGAAAAAGAAATATTTGAAGCAACTCTGAAGAATATCACCGTGAGGCAGATTCAACATCACGTACCTTTAATGCAACAGCATTTAATCTTCTTAACGCATTTGTTCCACGAATACTGAGCAAGCGGTGTTGCTGTGTGTTTGTGTGGGTGCTGATAACACATGCAAAACATACTGGCTGTGGTGTCTGTCCTCCCAGGGACAGTAGAGAAGAGTAGAGAATCAGGACATGGGAACAGACAATTTGAGTTGTATTAGAACAAAAGAAGTGCTTCTATGCAGAAAGTGCTGGACACAAAGTTGAGCAGGGGCTGAGGATCAGGGGTTGCCCTCTGGAAGAAGGGGTGTCTATTGGGAGATCTGGGAGCCCACTAAGAGGTAGCCATGTGAGTAAAGCCGTGTGGGTGGACAGAATTGCTGGTGGAAGAAAAAGCACACATGAAGGCATCAAGGAAAGAAAGAACGTGACCCACTCCAACACCTGGAGAAGCTGCTCCACACTTCAGCGTGACAGGAGCCCAGAGCCAGTGTGGCCGGAAAGGGATGTGAGAGCACCCGTGCCGAAGGGAGTTTGAGCCTCTGTTACAGCGCTCAGGCTTTATGCAGAGGCTCTCAGGGAAACCGTTGATGTGTTTTGAGCAGGGAGCCACATGGCCTGATTTTCATCTAGAAAGATCTTTGTGTTTGCTGTAGGAAAAATAAATATATGGCATAGAATAGAGACCAGGCCACAGACAGAAAGATCATAGGGAGCTGTTCAAACAATCTAGGCAAGAGATGGTAGTAGAATGAATTAGGATGGGCCTAATTGGTGGAGGTGTGTCCCCCCAGAATTTATGTTGATCCAAAAATTTATTTATTTAAATTTATGTTGATCCAAAACTTCATAATGTGACTTTGAATATAGGGTCAAGTCTGGGGATCTAGCTCAGTGATAGAGCATCTGCCTAGCATGCTCCAGGTTCAAAGCAAAGTATGGAAGGCAGGAGGAGAAAATCTTGAATATAGTGTCTTTTGTATGTAATTATTTAAATTAAAATGAGGTCCGTGCTGGATTAGGGTAGCCCTAAAACCAATGCCTGGTGTTCTTGCAAGGTCATATGAGGACACAAAGACACACTTGCCTGAAGTCCTATAGCAGAGGTTATAATGACACTGTCACAAGCTAGGAAATACTTGGGACCACCCCATGCTGAAAAAGGCAAGGGTAGATAATCCCCAGAGTTTTCAGAGGGAGCATGGTCTTGTTGAACACTTCATTTTGGACTTCTGATTTTAAAACAACAAAAAAAATAAAATTCTGTTGCTTGGAGCCACCCCACGAGGTTATTCCTACAGCAACCAGGAAACTCATAAACAGGGGAAGAGGTGCACACAGGTGTGATCTGATTTGTCCTGTATTTAAGAAGTAACTTCTGACTTTGGTGCTCACTTGGCTCTAAGTGGCAGTGAGGGTGCATGTCAAGAAAAACTAACTCCCAATTTTCTCACTTCAACTACTGGGCAGTCAGGGTCAATCCTTCCTCAGGGACCATGGGGGAATCGAGATTTGGAGAGGAAAAACTGACCAATTCTGTCTGTGGCTAATCCAAACTTATCAGATTTATCCACACAATGTTCATCAGTGGCTTTACCAAGTATAATTTTGATTGGGCCAAAAGCGATATTGCAGAGGGTTGGGGCATAATTGGCAGGTGAATGATTGAATTTGTCTATGAAAAAAAAAGTGAGTCCAGCAGCTCATTCAAGGCCAGTGATACATTGTGAATAACACAAGATATTTAGGGGCTCATAAATAGGAAGCAAAACAATGCTGTGGGCACAGGGAGGAAAAAGGAAGGGATACTTTCTAACACTGAAGTTCATGGAATCTGTGGCATTTATTTCTGGAACTTCCTCATTGAACATCTCCTTTTCTCTTCAGGAAGTAGAAAGGATAATTTGTGAACGGGAGACAGAAGTTGATGGATTTGAAGGTTCACACCAGATCCCATTCTCTGCATGTGACAGGTAATAATGACATCGCATGGTGAAGCAATTATTTTGTAGTTCCGTTGTACAAAAAAAGCAAATGAAGTCACAGAAAGAGCATGCTGAATATCTTGCCCCAAGTTCCACTTTTGGTGAACGATGACCTGGGGTTGAAATCTGGGAATCGCCTGATCTCAGAATTCAAGTCATTAGCCTTGACAGTGGCTCTCAACAAGCTGACTTTATGATTATGAATATACGGATGCAGATCCTGGGAGTCCTGTGGATTTTCTCTCCCAAATCTCTCCCATCCAGGAATAAGAACTGGTAAAACAGCATTACAGATATGGAGTTTTAATAAGCAAGTTTCACTGGAAAAATAAAACCACCATGCTGCATGTTTTGGCCGTTATGTGAAAGAGTAAAGAGAATTGAAGGTATTGGTCCGCAGGAGAGGGGGAATCCACACCTTGAGAGTCCGAATTGTTAGATTAGATATCCACAGGGATTCTGAAGACATTTTAAAAGATGGTGGAATCTGGGGAACTGAAGGTCTTTGAGCAGCTTAGGGTCAAGCTTTGGGCTTATTCATTCCCCATTGCCTTGCTCGGCAGTCATCCCACAGCCCTGTCCTTTGACTTCATGGGTCATTTTATTTGACGGGATCACATAAAATTGCCCATCACAATATTCACAGCGTAGAGCTTCCATGATCTCAGAGACTCACTGTTCAGCTCTCCAATTCAGGAAGAGAAAAAGGAGGCACACACTCTATTCAGAGCAGATCCTTCCTTTCAATTATTTCATTCCTGAGCTGGTATTCAAGATCCATTCGTGGGCTTGTCTGGGAGTTCGTCTTGGGGGAATTCTGAATCAAGGAGGAGGGATGTAAGAGCTCTAAGATATTTATTCACAGTCTTATTGCAATTTACCGGCTTGTGCTTATTCTCTCCACTCTTACCCAGAGTCCTCTGTGGCAAGAGGTTCAGTGGGGGAAAACACACTTTGAAGATCCTTCCATGCCCACAACCCAGCACAATTAATTTACTTAAAAGGCTGTACCACTTGCCACAGCCCTTAAGTGAATTTTAGTGGTTTGTCTTTCCTATAATTATAAGGAGCCAGCACAGTGCCCTCCCTGGCACAGTAAGAGGGGACTTTCCCTGGGAAACCTCAGTTCTCATGGAAGCATGGCCTGCTCCTTGGGAAATCCTGGGATGTTCTGAGATAAACATCAGTTCAGCTAACCTAATGAAAGGGATTGGCCAACGCTGGCACGACTGAGCTCTGCCCTGCGCCATCATACCCTGCCTTTGGAGAGTATCCAAGAATCCACACGGACCATGTGTGAGCTAGCAAGCCCTCAGGGCACTGGCCGGCTTCCACCACCGCACACAAAACTGACAGGGACCAGCTGACAAGCAGGACACCCATGTGCTCAGGAGACGAGAGCCATAAGGTAAGAGGGAAGGAGAAGAGTGTCACTCATCACACTGAATCAGGATGACAAGCAACGGGACCCAGAATAATGTGGAAGAGAAGGAGCCGAGTCCCTGCGACCTGTGATGGGTTGCAAAGGCTTCCCGTCTTGCACAGCCTGAGTAGAGGGGGAGCTTGGAACAGCCCCATGCTCCTCCCACCATCGCTGGCACTGTGACTCGGGACACCTGAGAAATGTTCTGGGGGAAAAAAATTTTGCAACAATTTTTATTATTAAATTAGTGGCTATCTTTGAGTAGTAGACTTATACTTTTTAAATTCCTGAGTTTATTTTTCTATAATTAAAGACATATATGATTTTTGACAAATAGGCTTATTTAAACTTCATTTCCCTTAGCTTCAAACTTGGTTCTTTTAAATTATCTTATCTATAGAATGGATCCTAATTCTGTGGGACACAATCCTCCTAGCAACTTCTGACCCAGGATTTGGGGCCAATAGGGGCTGTGGTTCTGCACAGGCTTCTTGTTTTATTGAATTTATGACCCCTGCAGAGAAGGTCCATTAGTGGGGGCAGAAGTGTTCCCAGTCCAGGGGAAAAACATGAAAGAACCCATCACCATCAGCACCGCCACTTTCCAGAAAAATCATACAGCATCATCTGCAATATTAGCATCTTGCCTGGTAAAGAAAAAAGACTTATATGCAAATCAAACTAGTATGTTCTGTATGTTTTGATCCCTTTAAAATTCCTTTGTGAAACCTTTACCTTCCAGGTGACAGTACTAACAGATGGGAACTTTGAAGGGGGCTGAGATCCAGAGGGCACGCCTCATGAATGCAATTAGTGAGCTCATAAAAGAAGTCCTGAGGAGCTCATTTGCCCATTTCCACCAGAGATGGTCACAGAAAAAAAAATGGAGGATGCATCTATGAACCCCAATATGGGCCCTCACTTGTCGCAGTCCGGCTGCAGTGCAGCAAAATAACCGGAGGGTGAAGAACAACTTGTGTAGATTGATACAGCAGGAGTGGGAGCCCTTTATTGTAGGACAGGAGGGGTATATATACATTCCACACAGCTTATCTTAATTAACATAAACTAGATACAGCAGTCAACCAATAAGGAATCTCCACACTTAATGGCTCAGTGGTGTTACTTCACAAACCACTCCCTCTGGCAAAATGCCAGGCGCCATCCTGACTTGTTTACAGACCCTAACACTCAGCATCAGGTCTGCTGGTGACAGGCCTGGACCTCCCAGCCTCCTGAAGTGAGAGGAAGGCACTTGGGCTGTGTGCCCTCTGCCCAGCAATGGCACTCATCCTGGCAATTCACCCACTCTCCTCACTCCCTGGCTGGCAACACCCAGCCAGATCAGGCCCTGACCCTTGCTTTTGTCACTTTATGCTAATCAATTATACAAGACTTGACCCAGCTGTGTGATGGAAACATTTTCATCTTCATGCTCTGTTCACTTGAGAAAGAGGACATGAGAAAAGGGGACTAGAAGTGAACTTAGATACTTAAAGTTTATTTAAAAATATTCATTCAAAATATATTCAAATTCCCTACGTCTAAAGCACTCCAAATACAATTCATCTCACTTCTGATTGTGCAGTGCACACTACCTGACCCTCCCTACCTCACCTGCTGGAAAGGAACCTGTGAACAGCCACTGGTGCATGTCAGGCGTGTGAACCACTCCGGAAACCTTGAATAAGACTGGCTAGAATGAAATCTCGGTAGAATAAAAGTGAACACTTCTTGTTAGGTTAATAGAACTTTATGATCATCCTCTCATCTCTGTCCAAAGAGTGGTTTCTCTCTACAATAGGACAAATTTACATGAACTAAATCTTGCTAAAACTATGAAGTCTCAGAGGGAAAGAAAGGGGTATCTACCAATAATCAACAATGAACAGGTACCGACTGAGCGTTGAGCACTGTTCATTTAGTTATGTATCTCACTTTATTTTTTTGCAAAATTGACTGAGTTGGGAATATGGAGATGCAGGGGCCAAATAACTTGCCCAAGATCTTACAGCTAGTTAAGAGGTTCGAGGTCTATTGGAGCCCACAGCCACCAGTTCCTTCCTTCTGCACAACTCCATTCGTTTCCATGAGCTCCAATAACTGATGTAAACTTTGAATCAGGTGCATTTAGCCTCCTGAAGAAGTGAAGGTAGATAATAAAGAAAAGTAAATCCAACAAATAAAAGTTAATCGTAGTGGCTTGACTTAGTCTGATGCCTCCATTCATTCATTACAAAATTCTCCTTGGGGATGCCACAAGCCATCCCCCTCATTATTTAAACATTTTGAAACAGTCTAAGTAATTTCTCTTGAGGCTATAATAATGCCTTTCAAAAGATCCTTCCTACTTACAACTTGTGGACCTTCTCCTTCAAAGTTTTAAGGACTTAATGTGTGATCAAAATTCACTCACATCCTCCTTATTCTCTTTACTCCTCATTTGATTCATTTAAAAAGATTCTAAGCCCGGTTTTCGAAATGACTTTTCGCAGTTTTTCATCTTATGAGATTTAAATTTTAAATTTATGTCTTTGTACTCCAGGCTTTCTCGTTTCCTAATTTATTTTTTACTTACTTCAAGCCATCAACATATCCCTGCCATCAGGTTTGATTTATAATGCCTAGGAACATAATCCAACCATGAATCTTCCTTGGGAATGCCAACATGGCATGAGACAGGAGACAGAGAGAGAGGGAGGGAGAGAGAGAGAGAGAGAGAGAGAGAGAGAGAGAGAGAGAGAGAGAGAGAGAGAGAGCTCACTTTAATGATCTTTCTAGAGTAGAAAACAAAAGACAAAAAATCCAGTGAGACTTTCAAAATACTCTCCATCAAACTCTGAGTCGATGGTGATATAAGAAACTTGGCCTTTCCCTGAATCCACTCTGGAATTCACCAGCTGAAGTTATAAATAAGATCCCAAATGACCAGAACCCTTTCCACCTCCATCCCAGGTCTCAGAGCCTCTCCACCAACCCAGACAGACATACCTGGTCCCACAGTGACATGAGCATGGTCACCCCCACCAAAGGGTGTTTCTGTTGGTTTCTGTTGATTGCCACTTGTAGAAGCCAGTGTTAGTGACCCCATTATGAAGCCCTCGGGTAGGGCAAGAGACAAAGTCACTCGAGGGACATGGGAGCAGGACTCCAGAGCCTTTGTCGTTGCTGCTCTATATTTAGGGTGATAAGATTCAAGGGCTCCCGTACTTGGTATCTCTTTGTCCAATATTTACTTCCTCAGGATAGAGGGTGTCAGTGAAGCTTGAGCCCAGTGACCCCCTGGGTCCCACCATCTTGCCCAGGGGCGCTGAGTCCGCGTACGGCCATCAGAGTCCAATGGGGAATACTGGGAGTGACGGCTCTCTGAGGAAGCCTCCAAAAGGGGAGTTAACAACTACAGGCTCCATGCCAACCACAGGTCTCCTGAGGCTACAGGACACCTGAAGGTCAATTTGCAAACAGGCAAGCACCAATGGGCTGTTTAAGCACCACCTTAATTAATAGAAATAACTATTTTAATTTAATTTAATTCCATTGAACAAACTTCAGTAGGGCATTTACAGAGTACAATACACTACGTTATATATAATATTGGTGAACAAAAGAAAAAAAAGAGACATATCCCTACCCTCAAAATAAAAATTTCTCAGTTTAACCAGGAAGCCCCAATTAATGGTTATTTATCCAATAAACATTGACTAAGCTCTAACTGAATACATGGCACTGTTCCAGCTCTGGGAAGTTCAGCAGTGAATGCAAGTGACAAAAAAGTCCCTACCCCCATGCAACATTCATGTTGGAGAAGCAAAGTAAGCGATGGTTCAGGTCTGCGTGTGAATCACCTGCTAGATGAGGAACTCACTTCTGAGTCTCTCTGTGGTTCAGCTTTCTTACTTTGACACTGAGATGACAACAGAGTGTGGTGATCCTATAGTAAGAGCATCATCAATTGTCTCCTTGTCAGTGAGATCTCCATTGGCTCTCACCCTAAGTTCCATGCCAACAATTCTCCTTCTCAGCTCCGTTCTGCCCGGGAATTCTGAACAACAGACTAAGGAAGCTGGGCCCAGGAGTTTTGGTTACATGTCGACTGTGTAAAAGACTGTGCTGGATGTTATGCTCACCAGAAGCAGAACTGATGTGTCCTTGAGACACAAGATGCTTATTAGAGAAAGAGAGCAACATGAAGAAGAGCAAGAAGTTGAACATAGGCCCAGGAAATTCTCCACCAAGCCTCAGGATGCTCTGAAGCTAGAATAGCCCATAAGAATGTCCCTTGTTTGCCTGAAATGGATTATTATTATAATTATTATTATTATTATTATTATTTTGGTTCCTTGCTATAATTTGCTAGGGAACCTGGAGGATCTGACCTGTCTCTCTGTCTACTATAGATCAAGTGAGATCTGAATAAGAAAAAAAAAAACATAATACTTAGTGATAAAAAACAACTCAGTGTGGGTGAGAGGAGCTTAAGTGGATCATGATAAAGGAGAATGAGCTCCAGAGAAGAATTGCTAAGCATTGTCAAAGTTCAGATGGTAGAAAGGGTACTTGTGGCTGAGCACACCAAACAACAACATTTCCCTCTGAAGGCCAAGAAAACATTGAAAGGTGGATTGAGCAGAAAATTAATAAACTCTTGTATGATCAGTGCATTAGGAGTTCTCAGTCCCCGAATATTCTCTTCAATTTAACTGGTATGAGAATACCTTACTGTTTCTATCAATGTAATTTAATGTGTAATCTACAAATTAAGATGGTCTGCAACTTGTTGCAAGCACTTAATTGGATAAGTATAGAGAAAGCATTCAGAAAAAAAATTTAAGCAATTTATATAGTAATTTTCTGTCTGTTAGTTCTAAATAAAATATTATGGCTTGTATTTAGTACATCTAGATTTTCTACTTCTTTTATCTGGTAATACATTTTGATTGTATCTTGCAGAAGGGTTTATGGTGAACTAAAGTTTTGGTTTGTTTGTTTGTTTTAAATATACATTTTCCTTCACCATTAGCTGTTGAAGAAGTGCTGGTTAACATTGAATTTGACTTTATTATTAAAAAAAAAAATCTTTGTTCAATTTTTGGAAAAAAGTCTCCTGAAATCTGAATCTCTATTATGCTTGTGATTATTAATTTAGGAATAAAAGTGTATCTAATTTAAAGAATGCAGACCTAAAATTGTCTAAATGGAGAATTATTTTATAAAAGTCCAATTATCTACTAAGTTTCATTTACTTTTAAGAGAATCTGACATACAAGTGACAGCAAGGAAGTGAAATACGACCAAATATGAATAGAAAACGTGCTCACATAGATGGCATGAACAGAGAATTTTCTGATGTATTTCTCTAAATAAGTTATCAAGCACACACACAGAAATATCATGATGTTAAAAAAAATTTTAAATAAGCCCCAAGTTAGAGAAGAACAGCAGTGAAGAATTAACAGACTAAAGTACCCTGAGCTGAGAGTTGCTCTTTCAACTGTGTTTGACTCAAACTATTTACAGTAGCTCCCTCTGCAACTGAGAATTGTTTCTCTTCCTTTGTGGAACCCCCACAGCCATCATAAATCATTATTATTTACTTTAATGTGGGCTAAGAAAAGGAAGAACTTAAAAATCATAGAGGTATTGAATTAAATCCAACGTACACTCGACATTAAATAAGACAGTAGAAATGCACGAGAAGAAAAAGGTCCCGAGATTTTTAAAAGAACATATCTGTATGGGTGATGTAACAATTAAAAAAACTCTTCCTTATAATTTTTAAGTGAAACATTTTTAAACAATGATTATTAAAACAAGATTCTTTTCAAATTACTAAGTACGAAGGTGGACATTTTAAAGAAACCCTAATGTAAGCACATCGGATTTTGCTAAATCAATGCATCATTTGTTCTGCAAGATTTCTACCTGTTTGAAAGGCAACCACCAGAGTGGTGGGGTTTTAGCATTGTTGCTTTGTTTTGTTTCTAAGCAAACAGTGGCATCAAAATAAAGGCTTGCCTGCTTGCTTGTTTATTTTTATTTATTTATTCTTGTCGTTGAACCCCACCTAGAGACAGCAACTGGAGGAATTCAAGAATTTGGGCTCTAGCTCTGTTCAGACTCCACCAGGCTCCATAGACAGGTCTCATCCTCATGGTCTCAGAATCACTGCCAGACCTCTGAGCATTTCATCTGAGTTCCCATTTTGAAAGCTAATAAGGGATAGAAAGAAATTTCATTCCAATTGAATTAGGGTTTTTTTCAAATTTTAATCAGAAAAACACTCTCTTTCCTGGAAGCTCTACCAAGAGGGCTTGTGTCTGTATCTAACTGTCAGCACTATCCAATAGCCCTCCTGAAACCCGGGAAGATTCAGGAGCTGGGCACACCGCTGCTCCAAGCAAGCCCAGGTGCTGTCAAGAATGAGAGGATGGGGACACTGCGGGGGTCGAGTGCAGCAGGCTGGCGGCAACCATCCAGTCCACACTTCCATTGAGAAGAAGGGACTCGAGGTCTGAAACGTCAGGAGGATGAAGAAGGAGGCCGGAGAGCACAGGCAGACCTGCGGGGGTCCCAACGCCTGTGCAGCACGTCTCCAGAACACAGCTGCTCGGGCAGGGATCAGAGACATACAGGAAACCACCCTGAAACACAGCCATCTCCCAACAGACCTATGAGATTCAGACAGGGAGAGTCCGTGGTGCAGCTCATAAAGGAAAAGGAAATCGAGATCTTCGGGCTGTGTACTCCAATGAAGTGACAAACCAAAGAGGCTGTAAGTTGGCAAATGGACATCATTTTCTTGGCCTCTATGAGAAGGAGCGTCACTTGGGCTTCGATGGGAATACACTGTCTTCCAAGTCGTCTGGTCCCTCTGACACTCTCACTGAGACCCCTTTCTCTAATCCCTGGATGTCATTTTTCTTCTTGCCTCTCCTTTGCCTCATCTCCTTGTGCAAATGCACATCGCCCTGTCCTCCACTCCCACCTCTCATAGACCTTTTTCAATACATCCTCTCTCCTGGGAATTTTTCATAGTAATTTCTCTTCCCAGAGTCCAAGAGAAAATGAAGAGAACATGCAAAAATGACCCTCTGTCCTAGCAGCAGGAAAGCTTTGTGTTGCTAGGAAACCAGTGGTAGGTACTAACCGTCCCTCACTAAATGAGGGCAGCTCCCAGCAGAATAATCCTTTCTGGGGAAGAACCAAGACCAGGATTTCACTTCCTACCTCTAGCTGGCTCTGTCCACATGTATGTTTTTCTTCTCCAATAACAAGCCGCTGAAATGATTAAAAATGATTTTAGGAACATGAAATTGTGCCTCTAAGGAAGGTCAGGGGAGGTGTGTAGCATAATATGGAGCTACAAGGTTGAAAGATTTCCCACTCATCAGAGGTTTAGGTGGCTGCTGAGAAAGAGGGAGAGAGACAGACAGACAGACAGACAGACACACTCACACACACACACACACACACACACACACACACACACACACAATGCACAGAGCAGATTCTATTCTGCATAGGAGCCAATCAGAAAAATCTTTAAATTAGACGTGGGTTAAATATAGGATGAAAGACGTTGGCTGGGAGGTTTGACACTCCATAGAGACAGACACGTAGCAGTCATTAAATATGATGTGGTCTGTGTATAACGTGCTGCTTTGTCACTCAGAGGCACGTCTGTAAAGTTGATTTTCTCATAGTGTGTTTGTCACCACATGTTGCCAGGAGTGTACTTGTGTCTGGACTGGAGGGAAGTGAAGTTAGAGGTCTAGAAAGACTGGACCACTGGGGCTGGGTTGTAGCTCAGCGGTAGAGGGCTTGCTTGCCACGAGGTTCCATCCTCAGCACCACATAAAAATAAATAAACAAACAAACAAATAAATAAAGGTATTGTGTCCTCTACAACTAAGAAAATTTTAAAAAGAACTGATAATGTGTGGTGGTAAATCTGAATAGTTACTGATGTTTAAGAAACAAAAGGATTGGGCCATTGAGAGAAAGCTTAGGGTTCATGGAGATGAAGAGATGGTTCACAAAGGAGTGAGTGGTCTGTCAGCTCATTGGAAGGATATTTGCATGGCGGCTTTGTGCCAGGCTCTTCCTGGATGTTGGAACCAGCTTGGATCTCAAAGTGCTCATATTTTGGTGGAAGATATAATTGATGAACAGCAAAGGTAAGCAAAATGGATGTGTTAAATGATTCCTGTGCTGCTGAAGGGGCAGAGTACCAGCAAGACAGTGGGATGCGAAAAGTTAGGCAGGTGCCTCGAGGGGATTTCAAACCAAGATCTGATGAAAATGAGGGTGCACTGGAGCGGGGATGTCAGCGGGAAGACCAGAGGGAACAGCAGGAGAAGGCTCTACACCGGAGTGTCCTTGACATGAGCAAAACATAGGAAGGAGACCAGAGAGGCTGGAGCAGTGGGAAATGGAGATACGAATGGTGGGAATGTAGGTAGAAAGGTCAAAGGTCATGGTAGGGGAGGGTGGGAGGACAGGGAAGATTCTGGGGTGCAGGACCAGAGGGAGGTCCATTTGCAGAGAGAGATGAGGAAAAAAAGAGGCAGGAGAAAGGAATGACATAAAGGGACCAGGACTTTGGCTCTTCCTCTAAGAGAAAAGGTGTGGGCAAGAGAGCTACTGCCCACAGAATAACCACCTATTCTTCTATGTATCCCAGTCACCTTTGCAGCTGGCTTCATGCCATGTGCCTAGCCATGCACAGTAGCCCATGAGCAAAAACAGTATGTATCATTTCCAGGCCAACACAATTTAAAAAAAAACTATGCCTCCTCCTTATCTTTCTGTCCCACTGTCATCCTTTCAAATTCAACTGTCCCAAGTGGAAATGGATAAAAGCCATCTGGCTTACATCAGACTTCACCTGAGTGGCAAATAAA